GTTCCGTCACAAAGAGTTTCTTTTATAATACTTTCTAGTATTATATTAAGAGATTAAAAAGAAAAGAAAATCTAAGGTTTCTATAATTTACAAAAGAAATTTGTATTTTTATATTTAATCTAAAAATATAAAAATAAAGAAATAATTTTATATATTATATAAAAAGTAAATATTTATATATTTCAGATTTAAAAGAATTCTTTATTATAAAAAGAGTTAATATAAATAAAAGACTTTTATATTATAATATTAAAGATTATAGAATCTTATATTGTATATAAAAATAAATCAAAAAATTATTATAAACGTTAATAAGATTTAAATATATATTATAAAATATAAAAAATAATATTAGAATACTAATAAATCAAGAGAATCTATTAATATATATATATATAAACGTTTTATATAAATTTATCTATATTCTAAAAGAATATATAGATATTTTAATATTATATTTTGACTTTATTAGTAATAAGATATCTTGAAAAGAAAAAAGAGAAACAATAGTTTTTATTAAATCTTCTATTTTTTATACTTTCTTTTTATTTTCTTTCAACTAAAAATCTTCAATTTCTTTATTAGATAATAAAAAATATATATAATAATAAAGATTATTTTTTAGATTTTAGATTTTAGTATTTTAATATATTATTCCTAATCCTACTATATATTTTTTCTAATTCTCTCTATATATTACTTTCAATTCTTGTATTAAATAATATATATAGATAGATATTAATATAAATACTCTTAATATATATATTATACTATATCAAACCTCTAATAAAGATTCCTATTATACTATTATATACTAACGTAAACACTGAGCTATTCTATTAGTAAATAATATATAGGTTATCTGCTAGACTAATAATCTGCCTCACGGGGATCTATTGCGCAGTCTAAAATTTATAAATCGAAAAGTGCGAGATTTGATCTAGCTTTCTCGGAACTAAACAGAAGGAATCCCGGCTCAGTATGCTCGAATTCTTCAAAAATTTACGATATCATTATCGTCGAAATAACTTCATCGGACCTAATTACCCCCGTTTTCCTCTAAGATAGTAGTAGGCCTCACACCTTGTACATATATTAAGGTTTCGGTTAATATTCGGCACTTCAGGGATCGTTCGCTTGTTTTACTCAGAGAACGCGAGTATTTTATACAAGCGAGTATTGTATTCAAATTTTGATTATTCTGAATAATATTTAATATGCTAAATCGATTGTATATTGAAGAGAAACATTCGCTTATATAAGATACTCCTTTTCCCTGACTGGGAACCTCTTTTTCTAAATCAACCCCTTTCTCTCGAGATTACTCTACATTATCTACAAGAGCTCGATGGCATTAATACCGTCTTATCTCAACTCACCGATGTTGGGTCTAACCGTATATAGACGACGCTAAACTCTCTACAGCTTAGTATTAATTGCTTACATATAAATATGGGATCCAAAATAAACTCCTCTTCCCAGCTCCTTCCAATCACATAATCTCCTCAGCCTTTGGCTTGATCGATAGCTAGATCAAATGTGGTTGGACTCAACCTCAGTTAGTTCAACTTAATTCAGTTAAGACGGTAGGTACTAGTTATTATGGTGACTCTCGATGATCCCATGAAGCGTTGTTTATTACCTTGATTTCTTATAGAATATCAAGGTCATACAAACCTTAATCTCCTTCACCTAAACCTCTTTTGTATTTTACTAGGTTATACCAAGAAACATTGCTCATTACCTTGATTTCTAATAGAATATCAAGGTCACAGAAACCTTAATCTCCTTCACCTAAATCTCTTTTGTATTATACTAGGTTATACCAAGAAGCATTGTTTATTACCTTGATTTCTAATAGAATATCAAGGTCATAGAAACCTTAATCTCCTCCACTTAAACCTCTGTTGTATTGTACTAGATTATGCCAAGAGATAGATCACTCTCCGTGCCCCCGAGTTTTCTTAGAACTATTAAAGGTACTCATACCCATAATATCAAAGAACATGAAATTCAATCACATTATCCTCACATATACCTTTTATCAAAGATTTTGATCTTCAATCTACACTTACAACCCAACAACATTATCCTCACATATACCTTCTATCAAAAATTTTGATCTTCAATCTACATTACTTACAACCCATCAACATTATCAACGACTGTCTCAAACCAAAAACTACGTATCATCCGCAAATTTCGAAATTCCAACAGATCAGACATTATACCATAACTGAAGGACTTTGGTCAACAATACTGTCAAGACATCACCATGTCAATCAATATGGCTGATTCGCAAGTTCAAGACAAGAACTCCAACCTTCGCTTATTATCACAAACCATCGCTGTCACCGTCACCCCCCCTCTTCCGAAGATAACACATAAATCCACGGTTGGTGACACCAAAACCTTCCATAAGTTCGGCAAACTTTCTTTAGAGTTACAAAAGAAGATTTTTGCGATGGCACTTCCGGATTCGCGCATCATGACCTTCAGCATTGATTTTATACAAATTGGCAAAGACCCCGATAAGGCTTGGTATGATCTATATTTGCAAATACCCAGCTTTCCAGGTCCATTATTTCTACTGGAAACATGCAAGACATCTAATACATCAGTCTTTCATGATGGTGGATTCCGAAAGATTGAGTTTGTGCGTCCAACAAGCGGCGCCGTCGTACCATTCTTCTCATGGAGATGTCCAGTTCATTACAAGAGTTTGGACCAAGAGAGGCGCACGCATTTTTATATGCGACCTTCTCAGGATATCCTCATGATGGATGTGGTGAAATTGTTTCGCTTTTATATGATAGGTGGATCAATCAACCTTAAGAAGCTCACTCATCTTATCCTGCGCGGGAGCATAATGCAAGCAATTCATTGTCGATTTACAATCAAACTGCTGATCATGATTCAACGAGAGTGCCCGAATCTCAAGAGGCTCAGTCTTCTCCGACCCAATAAATGCAACCGAAGCGACACCATTGGCGCCATTTCCAGATACCTCGATATCAATGAGACTCTTTACAAGCTGGATTTCAGATATCCTTCTGATACACCATTGACGTGGAGGGAATTTGAAATACAAAGGTTGAGAGGACACGTTGCGGCAGCGGAGCTTACGACTCGGACAATAGACAGAAATCTTAGAATCATGGAACAGGAGGGCAATAAATATTGCATCCCATTTTGGAAGAATGTTGAGGTGGTGCCTGTGTTAAAATGTTGGTCAAGAAATACTGACGATGAATCGGAACTCTGGTTTCCAGTATTACGGGCTTATATCCGCCGTAATGATGATGGAACTCTTGCGACCAAACCAGAAAGAAGACGAATAATTCTTTGAACAAGCTCACTGGCATGGCCACTTTCGGGTCAATACGAATGGCGTTACTTCGATGGGATCGACTATTTTACGCAAATGGGGCGTCTCACTGATCGATGGGGCTTACAAGTTTGGAAAGAAACTGTTTTGATTTATTGATTTAAAGTTTCATGTTCTTGTTCTTGTTGTTAATGTTGTATGTTATTGTTTTGTTTTTTGGTTGGAAAAAAAAGGGGCACCGATTGGTTAACGAGATATCATATAAGGAACATATACGGAAGGATATGGCGGCGGAAATAAAAGAATCTACTTTTTTTTTCAGAAGTATACAAAAATAGGGATAGCGATTATAGCGATAGCGGTATTGGTCTTGGACAATTTTGTTTTCGAAGTTTTGTATTAGTAATAAAAGCAGCATTTATATCTTCAAATTTCACTTGAGTTTGTAAAACTTATTGAACGATGAAATGCTCTATTCGGGTGAGGCCTCTATTCTATCGATATTCATAAATTGAGGGGTTCTATCGATGGATATGGGACATATTAATGAATGGGGTAGACTGTATGGATGTGAGCTGGGAATTAGAGAGAAACGAGTATTAAAGTAACATAGCTATTTGACAAATTAGATTGCGCATTCAAGCAAACCTATTGAGTGCTAGGAATCAACATAATCTGTATTATTAGCCAGCTGCCAGTTATTTTGTTATCTCTAAGATCCGTCTAATGAAAGCAGAAAGCTACTTTCAAGAGTCTTCATTCTTTCTGCTTCTCATAATTAAGTCTCTAAACTCCTTTCCTCAACGACACACACTCTCTGTACATCTCTTTACCTCTTGACTTGATACATACTGGCTAAATAACAATGACAGAAATTGATGTATTGTGAAAGATTTTCTTCAATAACCTACAGCCAACTCTGCTATTGCTTTGAACAGAGATAATGTGACTGCTGTGTCTAAGATCTCATCTGAAGATTGAGAGAGACATCGGCTGTATCTAGTTCGTTTCACTTCGGTTCGCTTCGGAGCTCAGCCATGTATATACCTAGTATCGTGCTAGATATTATTTGAAAGCTCTTGCTCTTAACAACTTGACTTTTCAGTCCTTGTTTATTGCATTAGTCGGTAGACCAACAATTTCATTACGAAAGGGTCTTCAAAAACTTCTTCGGATAATCAACTACCTACTCCTCTTTATCACAGCCCCCAAGATGACAAAATACACACACTATACATATGATATAACTTTCGAAGAGCAATACCACTCTTAAAATACATAATTAGTGGATCAAAAGGTTACTAGCTCCAAATCATACTCGTCAAGTACGATCATGAACTCTTTCTAGCTCTCTCTTTCTAGCTCTCCCCACTCAAACCTAGCCTCTCTCGAGCCCCTTTCTAGCTCTCTTTCCCTGATTGTTCATTAAAAGTTATATTCATCACATTCTAAGGTTTTCTCGTCTTTTCGAGACTCTAATAGCAAACTAATATAAGGGTCAGTGTGTAGGCCACACTATATCGGATGTATAGTATTCACAGCTTCATAGATGGTTTTATTAACCCGAATCTGAAGACTACACATATAATTAGACCAGAAAGATTTCGAGACATAGCACTGCACCTTGATATACGATTAAGGAACTTTCACCCCGCTTAAACCTGTAATCTATAATATCACCTCTACTCGTATATATATACTATTATTACCCCTCATTATCTTCGCACAGACCAATAGGTAATCTGCTATAAGAGCATCTGTATTCGATAACAAGAGGCTTTATTAACCCTTGTCTTTTTCGAAACAATAAGGGTTAATAAACCCTATCATCTTCTTTTGATTTTTAATTAAAAACTTAAAGTATTTATTTAATGCTTGTCTTTAATATTATAATATTGAATATAAATTTCCAAGTTTAGTGTAACCAAAAGGGTATAAACAGGACTCCGATTGTGTACTTAGAATCTACAAGTGAAAAGCTATATAGGGTACTAAAAGGAGGACTATATATACAGGTATTGGGAGTTATAAGAACTAGGCTCAAAGGAGAACTAGAGATAAGCATTGTACGATGCCTAGGTCTAGAGCTATAGAGCTAAAGCTCTAAGCTAAGAAGGGAAGGTCTAAAAGAACCGTTTTATTATACTATATAAGGTGTATAAGCTAGTGGACGGAAGAGAGCCGTCTGTTCCGTCACAGAACTGAATGTACAAGTAATTAAAAATCTAACAAATATAATCATCAACTTGAACTAACAACTCAATTCTCAAATGATAAATCTTTACGACTCGGAGTACTGAGTAGTAAATCTTGAGATTAAATCAGAAATTGAATTTGCATACTATATTACAATTACATTTTCTCCTCCAAACTCCATAGGGAAGGGATTAAATTGAGTAAGTTAAATTTAGATATTTTACTTTGATTTTATCTATTCGAGTATGAGTAGATACTTGAAGATATCTACTAGGTAGCAAGCTATGAATAATAAGTACCGGTAGTAGAAAAAATAGCGAAAGTTCATGCGATTAATTTATTAGTTTCCAGAAGAAGAAGAAGAAGAAGGGATTTAGATATGGGGATTAGTGTTCGTATTGTATCTACTGTATTTCTATGATCTAAAAGTATTCTACACATCTATCCATCCATCTCATCTATATCCCCCTCCCCCTCTCCCCTCTTCCCTCCCCAACCCTCTACCTCCTAGCCACCTCCCTCCCATCCACCCAATTAGCCACCCAATTAACCACCACCATAAACCTCCTCCTCCACCCCCTCGCCCACGTCAAACTACCACTCCTCCACGCCAACCAGGCCCTCGCCCCCGTCCAATCCGTTTTGCCCTGCACAACCCCATCTCCGCGTCCTATATACGCTATTAGATCTTTTTGTTTATAAACAAACGGTTCTCCTTGTTTCAATACTTTCCCCGTCCCATTATTTGCTGTTTCCGCATGCGCAGAATCCAACAAATGTTTCGTAAGCCATTTCGCCTTTTGCACCGCCACTTCTGCCGTGGTAGGTAATTCGTTATTCAAGATATCCGCGGCGTCTCCAAGCGCATACACGTTTGCGATAATATTGCCATCTGCACCCATACCCTTACCCATACCCATACCCTCCACACCATCAAAATCAGAATCAGGAGAAAGAACCCTCAACCATTCATCCGTAAGCATTCTCTGCAACCCCTCACTCTTCCTACAATCCAAATCCCCAACCAATTTTCCCGCCGTATTCCCGACTGCCCAAACCACCACTCCAAACGGAACTTCTCCTTCTTCTTTTACCATCATACTATGTCTCTTAATTTCCTCTATGTGTTTTCCCGTTTTGACCTTAACACCTCCCCTGTTTTCGAATTTTTCCATCGCGTACTCACTGAGTTTCTCTCCGAATTGGCCTAGTAATCGATCTGCTACGTCGTAAATACTAATCGTACATAAACCTTTCAATCGCGGATAGACCGCCCCAAGATGTTCCTGAATCAACTCATCGATCTCAGCCGCCAGTTCGATACCCGTTGGTCCACCGCCCACAATGACAAAATGCAACATATTCTTCTTTTCCTGCTCGGAAATAGTCGGTAAAGAAGCCCGTTCCAAACAATCCAAGATGCCCTCTCTCAATCTCCGCGCATCCGGTACCGTCTTCATAAACAACGCATGTTCCTTGACTCCCGGCGTTCCAAATGTATTTGTTTCGCAACCGGGGGCTAGGATCAATTTATCATATTTGACATCGAATTCCGCTTCTTCTTTTTTGATTCCTTCGTACGTAGGGGAATCTAGAGATTCTCCACTGACGCCACTTCCCCCAATGCAAGCTTTGCATCTAATGGTTTGAGTGTCGAAATCGACGGATGTGACGAGGGCTTGATATTTTTCGAATTTGGAATCGCGGCGACGGACGGGCTCTTCGGCGATTCGAAAATCGAAGATGGAGCAAGCGGCGGAGGCGAGGAGAGGGGTGAGGGCCATGGTTCGAGAGGGAGAGATGGCGATTATGTTATAGGGAGAGGTAGAGGAGGTGGTGGCGGAAAGTTCTTGGGTTAAGGTCCATCCTGCCCAGCCGGTGCCAATGATTGCTATGGTTGGTTTGTGAGGGTGGGATTGTGCATGTGGAGAGGAGTCTTCATTTGAGGAATTCGAGGGAGGACGAGATACTTCGATTTTGCTAGATGCCCGACTTCGAGTTGCTGACATACTGAATTGGGATTTCTGGTTGATTGTGGCAGGATTGAAGAGGGATTTTGAAACTCTATTTGAGTTAAACCTGGTAGAATTTCCCTTGATATTTGGAGTAATGAGAATAGAAAAATCTCGAGTACTAACTCTGAGCATTCCGCCCGAAAAGTAACCTTTATACATCACAAAATAATATATAAAGAAAACAAGGAAAGAAAGTACTTGATCAAAAAATGGATGCTTCTCTTCTCATACATGGTACCTGACTTAACTTATGTTGGTATCTGGTAGTTCATTGTACTGACGGCATTGACAACCTCTTAGTGTATGTGGGATCCAAGGTGATCTACAGTAAGTACCCTTAGGTCCAGTAAACATAAGATCCCTTCTGGACCCTGTCTTTTGATTTAAAGATACAATTGGCAGCATCTGTCAATGTTTCCTGAAATACCAGTATACCAGTCTCATAGAACTTCCAAGAATTGAAGTCATAGAGATAGATTACTCGGAGTATTGACATTTGTATAAACAATCCCGAGATATAAATCTCAAATTCCGGCAGGCATTCGGAGTCATGACGTAGCCGAGTCTACTCCTAATCATGTGACTCAACCACCACAGCGTTTTTGTTGCATATCTGATGAAAAGGAATTAATATGTCCCTTTAAATGCTCAAAACCGCCGCTTGTGGTCTGTGCATAATCAAGAATATCATTCATTAACTTCTATTACAATAAAAACTATAAAATGAAGTATCAAAAGATCAATTCTAGAAATATTCAAAATATGATTTGATTCATTATTAACTAATACTAATGAATTTATAATATCTTGTAATTAGTTATATTGAGCAACTTATCGCTTAAGTTCATTTTAGAAAGGAGTTTACAAGTATATTCCCCTTCCTCCCCCCCTTTATTCTTCTAAAATAATTTGAACTATATAATTTCCCATATCCTTCTCATCTCTAATTCCAGCATCTTTTTATTATCTTATCCTTTTCATCTTTCATATCCCTTATCTACTTCCTCCCAGCATCTTTCCTCCCATCACATTTCATCCCAGTACTCGTACATAACCAGTATACTGTATATCTATCTACCGGATATATATCCATCGTTTGAAACTCCTTCAGATAGAAACTATACATTTATCTCACTTTCTCATTCCCCACCTCCTAACCTCCTCACCTCCTCACTCCTCACTTCCTCACTTTTAAAAAGCATTGTACTGTATTATATTATATTATATTATATTATATTGAATACCACTACTCCACTACTCCATCCAGTATTCGAGTAATTAGATATAAGACTCAATTCAGTAGATTATCCATTGTAAGGTTAGGTTATCTTTTATTTATATAAGTCTTACCTGTAAAAGTATATCTACTACTACTCTGAGTAGTATTGAGACAAATAAATACTTTACTTCACAAAACACTATACTATACTATACTAACTTATCCAATCCGCATCGCATACCCATCGCATACCAGTACCAAGTATCAAATCAAACTTCCCTCCCTAATCATCAGCATCAACATTAGCATTCACAAATAAATCCATCATACCTTATACCTCATCTCCCTCTATAATCAAGATCACTCAACCCAATTCAAATCAAATCAATTCAAATCAATTCATTCATTTCGTTTCACTTCACACTTTTCATTCAATCAAATCATTTTTGATTATCATGATTGTACTCAGTATTGACTCAACTCAAACACACACTTTACCAGTATTATATCCGTGTATGTTACCTATCTCTAACGTCTCTAACATCTCTCTACTCGAGTTATCGTAGCAGTGTATGTATAGTATGTAAGATACCCATCCCCTAGAATCCACAATCTGGAAATCATAGCATATTCATATGCCTCATCACATCATGAGCATCTCTCATAAATCCAATGTACCACCCTAACCATTACCATCAAGCACAGATATACACTCTCCCTCCCTCTCCCTGTCCCAATTCACTCATCATATAGATTCATATCAGGTGCCCCATACTCAGCATTTATAGCCGCTAGCTCTGCCAAATCTCCCTCGTCCGCAGCCAACCGAGCGGCCACCATGTCTTCTTCAGTCCGAGTCTCATTCTCTGCCGTCTGATCAACCTCTTCACCCCAAGTCCCCATCTCAATCAGCTCATCCCCATCCTCATCCTCAACCTCATCCTCATCTTCATCTTCATAAATCACTCTCAATTGAGTTCCATGAGATGCATGTTGGCGGCGAAGCAGTGGGCCTTCATCTTCATTTTGGATTACGAATTGGTCTTCGTCATCAAACTCACGCCCAGGACTCTGCTCATCTATCATATCCATGTCCTCGGGTGTGTTGGAAGGTGCGGATTGTCTACTCCTGTAGGCATTGGAATGATTGTCGGCCGCAGAATTTAGGAGTGAGTTGAAGAGTGCGGATGATATCCTCCCATTAACGGCTAACGAGGCGAGAAAATCTGTTTGACCGGTGAATTCACTAGCAAGACGGGAGGCATAATCTCTCGAAACTCTATGTTGGCGTCGTGACCATGAATCAGTAGTGCTAAAATCTACTTCCCTCAGCCCGCCAATCCGATCATCAGTCATCCAGTCAGCAGCCATCCGTTCATTAAGTCCTTGTCTGAAACGATCAAGAATCTGGTATTGAAGATCGGCTCCTAAGGCTCTCACCCGGGAACTCAATTCCGCACTCCTTACAGCAGATTCAGACAACATCAAACTATTTGTAATACTCTTACTCCATCTGGAAGTACTGTGCCTTGTAAGACACGCGGGGAATTGATCTTCGGCTTCATTTGAAACAACCATAAGCTTCGTAAAAGCTAGTTGTGGACGGACGAGTGGAGCCAATTGGTCTGGACCTGAAATTCGTCCACCTGGGATGGGATAAAATCGAGCGCTTCTGAGACAGTCGTACAGTGTTTGATCATCGAGGAAATCCCTCAAGTGCATATGCTCCTGGTCATTCATTGTCCCTCGTCTTGTCAAAATGACCTCGTCGATACTTCCTTTGAGAACCAAAGTTTCGACAAATACAGGGCGAAGCTGTCCGATGCGGTGAGCTGTATTGATAGCGTGTGTCTCAACTCGTGGTGAAGAGACAGGATTTACGAAATAAACTCTTGATGCCGCACTCATGTCCAGACGAGAAGCCGCGTGATGAACATCCATGAGCATAACACGGAAAACCGTGAGAGTGTTGAACTTTACAAGGCATCTTGAACGCTCAAAGATTGAATCCCTCTGAGTATAAACCAAATATTGGATGTTCATACATTTGAGTGCTTGCGCAATGTAATATCCCATGTTCTCGGCTTCGTGAAATATGATAATCTTTTCGTGATTGTGGTGAAGAAAGACCTGATCCATCAGATACGAGAGCTTGGAGGAAATCGTAGATACGATAGTAGAATCCTTCCACTTTTCGTTCTCCTGATCTTCAAGAGAGCCAAGGGGCATTGCAGTCGGTGTGTGCTCCGTATTGTTTGGCCGCGCCTTTTTTAGTTGACCGGGCCCCGGAGGAAATTCCAACTCTTTTCCGTTCATCATCTGCTCTCCATAAATGATGGACTGCTCAGCCCATAAGTCTGTGTCATCATAAAGTTTATTGAACGCCTCTTTCGCGCCAATTACCATGGTAGCACCCATCAGTGTCGGATTTCCCGCCTCATAGTCAAGTGCCCATGCGCGTCTGACCTCATTCTGCAAAGGATTTTGGATATACATAGCCAATTCATGTAGTCGACTAACAGCTGTAAAGATACCATTTTTAAGAGCGAGCTCCCCAACTTTAATTGCTTCCTCCAGAAGCTTTTTGTCTCCAGCGGCGATACTATCTTTCGTAAGAAACTTCTTGGCAGTATCTAGAGAGCTCTCAATCATTGTTGTGGTGAATCCTGACCAAGTGAAAGAGGCTTGTCGTAAGCTTGAAACAAGTTTCTTGAGTGCTCGTCTTGACTTTGGATGAAATAAGTTGATTGCATCCTCTCTTTCGGAGGTGATAACATTTACTATCATTATCATCGAAAATATATTCAAAGACAACTTATCCTGCAAACATCCTTCGAGATAGACATTCTTTTTGTGTAGTGGAGAATGAGAGAGTTGTTCATTTATATCTTCCGCTGTATGACGGATGATCATACTTTCCAAAGTAAGTCTGAGAATTCGAGAATCACTGTGGACCTCACGGTCGTATCGTGGTTTGACAACCAAAGATAACCAGGATGCTTGATCACTCTCCGCCATAGTGTTTGCCCATGGTCGAGCCTTCAGATATGAGGTCAAAATATTTCCGAGCTTCTCAAGGGCCTGACGCTCTTGCTCGATGAACAGCTTTGTACGTCTGGTATTGGTTTCCGGCGATAGTGAACAGTCGGTGGTAGTCCTTGATGTGTGGTCTTCCAAAAAGTGACTTAGAAGCTCGCTACCTTCCAAATCCTTGCCGTCTCTACCATGAAGACCCTGTGCAGGCGTTCCCGAAACGAGCCAACGCGTATCGAGACGTAAGAAATCAATCGGAATCATCGCGTCTATTCTAGGGTCTCCTGTCACTTTCCCGAAAATAGGTCTTACATCTGTGATTAGACGCTTCAAATGAAGATCTTTGAGCGGAGAATGATACACTGTAGACGGAGTCGCTCTCCAAGGGTTTCCGCAAGGGCAATGTACCAAACCAGTATTTTTCTCATGGCAGCGCTGGCAACCATTGGGCAATGTCAGTTGGCAGAGTTTCCCATGATAGGTGACCATTCCCATCTCCTCTCTCTCCAATATTTTTTGGGTGAGCAAGATTACATCGTAGGTTGCCAGCACCTCTGCGGTTGGTAGTAAGGAGCGCATGTCAGTTATGACCAAATAATTGAGACCGGTGGCGTGTTTCTCAATTTCTTGTATCCATTGATCTATCAAGTTGGAGCGAACAACTATGAGAGTAGTCTTTGTGAGCCAGATTTTCCTAGGGCTTGTGCTTATCAGATTGGCTTCTTCGTGTTGAGGAGGGTCAGGTATATGCCAGTAATAGCCGGTTTCTCTCTGCAGCGCTTCACGAGCTCGGTTGAACTTCGTCCCTTGGTCAGATTCTATCTTCCGAAGGACTATCTCCCACGGAACTCCGAGTCTACCGATAGTCGACGCGGCCATATCAAGAAGAGATCCCGTAGTACTACGTACCGGGATGGACCCGACGGAATGCTCAACTGGTATTTGAGATGCCAGACCTTTTGTTGATAGGATTAGAGCTAAACAGATTAGGGTTTTTCCCAAGCCCATATTCTCTGCGCATATCCCACCTCTTGGCGCTTCGTAACAACGTGGCTCCCTCAAACAGATACTCGCGCTTAAGTCGCAATAATACTTGTTTCCAGCCTGATCTCTCATCGGTCGAAGGCGCGGATCAAGGAGATATGCTGGCCTTGTTTCACGCTGTAGCATCATAGCTGCCGTTTGGCATTGAAGCGGATGCAATTTGGTATCAGGATTTAATCCTCGTACATTGCCTTTCAAGATGGAACGCATCGCATCTTGTACATACTCATCCTCGATAAGCTTTGGGTCGGGTTTTGGGGATGGAAGAGCATTGAACATGTCAAGTACGGAAATATTATCTCGTGAATTTTCCGCATCTAATGAAGAATCGATGTGCAGAATAGGTGTATCATCTGTCCATGTACCTTGCCAAGTAGCATTTGAAATGTCTAGCTTGTCCAGAAGAAGCTCCATACCTTTGCGGAGCTGTGTCCTTGAACTAAAAACCAATTAAATTCACTCCAAAATGAATGTAGTGATTGAACAAGGCTTACCGATCTAGCACGGCTTTTCCAACATGATCCGGGAGAATGTATACCCTTACTTGACCGCTATGTTGATCCTTGGCTTTAAACTCCATTCTGATCCAGCCAGCATTATGGATTCCGCAAAAACCAACAAGAGATGCAGAACGAAGCAATTTGCCCTGAATCGTATTTGGCAGATACAAAAGATTGTGCTGAAAGTTGTGGATATCGGTAGGGAGATGAAGTGCTTGCCAACCCTGACACGAAGAAAGTTCATCTTCTGAGATTGAGCAGTCTTGTTTGCGTATACGAATGCATCCTACGGGAATATATTTCAAGATATTATTGAAATAATTGTGAGTGGAACCTGACAATGAGTTTTGTAAAGAAGGTGATGATACAACAAAACTCGAATCGGACTTGGCCTGTTGAGCTTTCAAGTATTCTCTATTGGGTTTGCGTTCGGTGGCTGGCGTAATGTCTTTCCGTGCGGCTGCGTCTTTCTTAATTTTATCCTAATTATATAAATCAGCAGAAGATCCTGACATTGGATTTTTTGTATAGGTGATCTTACCCAGAGATTACCCATTCCGATGGACTTCTTTTCTTCGAGAGGCTCATCACTGATAACAATGCCTGGGGCCATTGTTGTAGATGTTTGATCTCAAAATTGAGGAAGATTCTATCCGATGTGATGCAACTAATCTGTTGTGATATGATCAAGTTTGACTTCGATCAAAATGTGCGAAGTCCAAGACAGGATTGTGATATGATCAAGTTATAAAAGTCCGATGACAAGATTATGATGCAACCAAGCTGTACAAAGTCTGATAGCAATCCTGTGATGCGACCAAGCTGTGCAGAATCCGACAAGCACCAATATGATAATGAAAACTCTAATAAGCAACCCTCTCAAATAGAAAAAATCAAAGAAGTAGAGTCCTTGAACAATTATCAATAATTATCCTCAACCAAGGACATCAAGATATGAATTAAATTACAGATCAAATATCAAAGATCAATAATAAAGAATGGAATCTTGGTGTTTTATTATTGTTGTAAAGAAGAAGAAGAAGAAGACAAGATGAAAAAGATGAAGTAATCAATACCTAAATATCAAGAAATCAAAAAGTGAATTCGAGGTTTGTGGAGACTACTAGATACTACTATCTAAGTGTAAATGTAAGTGCAGCCAATAGACTACGAGGGGAGAAGCTAAGACAAGATCCCGAAGTTCCGACTCCCTGTTCATATGCAGAGCCTCATTGTCTGTGCCACATCTGTCCTCCACAACTTGTCTGCATATCTAGGTAGGTAAGTATTCAACTACAGATGTCAAAGGGAAATACTAGGTAGGTATTTGTTTAATGTGAGTTTACTTTTGGAAAGGGCTTCGGATTGATGTAGGGATAATGGATAATGGATGGTCTACTTTGGTATATGTATACATACTTATATATAACTATAGTGATACCAGATGGACCTCAAGGTTATGTTTACTTATATGTTAAGACAGCAAGTAGATATATTTTGATGGATAATAGAAAGGGAGGAGAAATAAAATCAAGTACTTGGAAGGTTGCTGGAAATTGGTATAATGATTCATCTCATCACTCATTCAGGACAGTGGTATGTAAGCTCACAAACGTGAATGATGTTAATAGATCTAGTACATCGTTCTTCAAAGCACAAAATTTCCAACCATCTCTTTAGGCCTTGACTCATCACCCTTTCATCATGCACAAAGTTCGCCAAGTTCACAAACCATCTCAATCAAGTCTATCAACTCCCTGAACCCTCTAACCCTCTTCTAACAAACCCCCCAAACACCTCATCTTCTCTCAAATACCCCATCACACCCCCCATCCCACTAACCACTGAGCACAAACTTACACCCCATATCCCTCAACCTCGCCAATATCAATGACACCCCTGACCCTGGTATCAATCCACTAGATGTTAATCTACTCATGAACCCCACAATCTTTCCTCCCAACTCCTCACCAAAACTCAACTCATACATCTCAAACCTAAAATAACTAATCAACATAACTGTTTCCTTCGTCGAATCTTCAATTACTCCTAATCAAGTCAACACTTGCTTATCTGTACGATTGACGAAGCCTAAGAGATTGTGAAGTTCAGAAGTTCTTCTCGATGCATTCTCACTTCCATATCAATCTCAAAAATCTTCCAACTCATTTACTTTCGCCTTGACCATCTTACCTGCATCATTTTCTAAAACCCCCGTGATCGCCCTTCCATCACAAACCGTATGCACAATCTGCACATACAAAACCAACCCCCCCTCAAAAGAAATTAGCTCTATTTCTACAACGATCCACAGACTCATCTTGTATATAAAGTGGCTTCGGAAACTGGCAAAGTATATCATATTTGCATCCAACAACTCACACGCGAATTCCTTTGTCTTCAAATCTTCCATATCAAGTGTTTGGGCAAGGTCTTGCTTGCACTTCGAGGTACGCAGCGTCATTAGGTTGAATACCACGAAGCCATGGTTGATCTTTTCTTTGGAGGAAGGGTTAATGGAACCAGCTAGGAAGGGAAGTTCTCCAACTTTAGCTTTCCTCTCAGAGCCGTGAGAAGTAATTCGTAATATACTGATGATATTTTCGAGGGTTGTGTTTGAGGTTAGGTCAAAGAAGAGGAAGTGCTTGGAATATATTGTATTGGCATGAACCGTCTGTCCCATATCCCAATGGGATAGACGGAGGTTGAATAAGGGACCATGGACTGGTAGGATGTTATCATTTCCTTCCTTGTTATCATAGTGGTGAAGGAGGGATCAGAAGATTGACATTGAAGCTTGATGTGAGTACAATCTCACACTGTTGGAAGATCGATCAATGACATGGGTTTTCAGGTAGGTAAGCTTCACTAAAAGCAGATTGAGTGGTTAAAGACACAGGCTCAAAATCCAGTTGATGATCAGAGTTGAGATATGAGAGGCCATATCAAAGGCTCTTAGGATTGGATTCAGAGTATCAGCATCAGCATGATTGCTCAGGAGGTCCACGGAACCAGTTCTTGATATCAATGAATGGAACACATCGATATGACTCGATACTGACAAGGATTATCTGTCTTGATGACCCTTTACCCTTGCCACCCTATTATCCTTACTACCAAAACACACACAAATCCATCTCTTTATCACAACAAGCAAGCAAATACTCAAGTATATATATATATCTTGTGAAGATTACGACGTTGTCAGTCAAACAAACATCTCCCAAGACATTACCTCTCATACCCAAACCCCGATACACCAATCAACAATCCTCCATGTGACATATCACAAAACAGAATCTTACTGTTGCATATCTGAGAATGCCATTTTTTCCCTCTGACTTGGGTTTGGAGGAAACCAGAAAGAAAGAAAGTTAAGTTCAAAAAAGAGTTGAGTTGGGGTTGACCCTCAAAAACATGCATTTTTGTCCACCCCCTTCATTTTTAACCACTTTTATAAGACAACTACAATCAAGACCACGGCTCTAGATTCTTAGCTATTGTAGGAGTAGGTTCTTTTATTTCTTATGTGTTCTGTTTACAATTAATTAATTTTTTAGTCGAGTGTGTCTTTACTAAAAAATATCAGCTTGTTTGTCTAATCCTCTCAATGATTAATGTCACGGTACCCAAAAGCATGCATGCAGCTCAAATCATAATCTTTCGCCCGTCGGTCTGTATTACTGTACCGCGCCAGCTATCGGGTTTCCTATCAAGTATGCAGAACCTCACGATGCTAAACACCATTCCCAATCTCGTTCCAATCGTGTCCAAATCGTCTGTCAGTGCAGCGAGCGAGACCACGAATGGAGACTGGAATCTGGATTACTGATACCACGAATACCAGGAATTTATACATTGTCGTGTATGGGTAAGAGTCCACTGTGTGTATTCCCAGCAGTGGTCCAGCATTAGAGGATTGGAGAAACCATCATTGCTGTGGAATGACGCCGGCTGTATTCAACGGGGCTGACCCAGTGTGAAATGATGAAGCTGGGAAGAATGCGGCCCGAAATAGGTTACCGAGACAGTTTGTAATGAGAAAGATGTTGATAGTATCAATTGAGTTTGATCTGGAGTATTCGGAGCCGTACGTATCAGTCAGTGCGATTGTATCAATCAAATAATACAGGCATATAGAGTAGAGCGACAGAGATAAGCTACTCACGTTAGTAACGCTGTAGAAGGCGAGATAGACGGCCCAGATGAGGAAGAAGCCCAGCACAAAGAAGATATATTGCAACTCGGTGAAAGCTTTCCAATCCCTCAGTGGCCCAAATTTGCTAGGTGATGTACGAGCGCAAAGGATTTAGTTGATCAGTATAGTATGGCAACGCAAGAGTGATGTAGCTCATACAGCGAATCGTCCACCAAATTCCCAATCCTATTTGCGGTCAATGAATTGAAGGTTCTCAACTTTCAAATCGAAGAGATAATAATTTACCTATTTACCAAGACAAGGTAGCAACTGCTGTGCCATAGCTAAGCCGGGTAGACTAGATCTCCCTATCCAGCCCAGAAGCAATAAAGGTCACAGCTAATGTCCTTTTCTCTTTTTTCCTTAAAATATCATAATATGAGAATGGTACAGATAATCCGGACATGTACTCGAGTAGTATACCCATTCCCAACCCAACATATACTCCTGCGTCAGAAAAAGACTAAAGTTGACAAAACTCCGTGCATAAGCTCGTTATAGATAGAGGCAGCACAACGCAATGAGAGCAATATTCCTTGAATGCTGTGTTGTGAATAAGCCTAGCATCGCTTGCTTGCTTACTTGCTTGTCCGTACTTGTACCAACGATGACTCGATGAAGAGAGTGAAGATTTGTTATTTGTGTGATTCCGATCCAGGACTGAGGCGGAGACGGTAGAATGTATAACCCCAAGTGTATCTTCATAATGACATGTTAGGACTGAACGGTGCCGAAGCTCGTGATTAGCCCCCATGAAATAAAGCGCATGAAATAACAAGCGAGACCTTACAGCCAGCCAGGCGAGTATGAACGACCGGTCACTATACCGGTAATCTTATACATGATCTTATGTATATTGATTGTTGATTGTTGATTATTGCTGATGCAAATTTAGAGCCTGCAGAAATACCCTGGGGAGTAATCATTACCAAAGGTTGGCCTCTTTTAGCAATGCAGACCCAAAATGTGCTTCAGGAAATATGCATATGCACATGGTGATACGTTGTTTACGTTGTTCAAGAGTATTTGTCGCTAATTTGTAGCCCTCGACTGACTAACCGGTGAAGAGTAGATCACGAGCGAGCGGCTCTCTCTTTTACTGTAGCACTCCTTTTCGGTTTCACAGATCTGACTTTTTCTCTCTGAAAGGGAGTTTGTAGTGTCTGACTGATAGTCTCTTACCTTTGGACTGAAATATAATTCCTCGTAAATTATTTCAATGATCATTGCAGCATCGGTTTGAAAGAGCGAAACTGTGCAGTGGTATTTACACTGGCTCTGAAACATTCACATCTCAGAGAGTTGCATTTTCCCCGCATGTAGATAAATTGAGGAGGGCTAAGCGGAAGGTTCTCAGGGGCTTTGGAATGATTTTGAGGGGGCAATCGGTGTCCACAATTCTTATTATCATGATC